AGGTGCTGATGGGGCTAGGGGATTAATGATGGTGGTTGGAGGGTTACCTTATTCAGGGGGTTGCTAGCTGTTGTTGCCTGGGGATGTGGGGAACAGTGTCAGGAGATGCTCCACGTGTTGACACCCCCTCGGGTCCCCCCTCCAGTACAGGTCCACCCTCCACTTTTGAATGTGCGTGTCCACCACCCGCCCGATGCCTCTGTGCAAGTCCATCGCATTGACAGCATCAGCACCGAGGGCACTGGGCCAGGCGCGCAGCACCACCTCATCCAGCACCCAGCCCAGAGCTCCATGGGCCAGAAACCTCCCATGCCCCATGCCCGGCCCCACACACACAAGCCCCTGGGACGCTGTTTTCAGGAGACCCTGCCCAAGCAATCTGTGAGTTGCCTTCTCCCCCTGGAGGATCTGTGCTGAGGGAGTGGGACAGGGTCAGAAGAGGGCACATTGTTGTAGGGAGGGGGGAAGGGCCAGCAGAGGCCTTGTGCAGCAGGGAGCTGGGAGGGACCAGCAGGGGCACTGTGTTGCAGGAAGGGGCCAGCAGGGGAGTTGGGTAGCAGGGATCAGGGAGAGAGCAGCAGGGGGCACTGTGGGGCAGGGAGCTGGGAGAGACCAGCAGGGGGCACTGTGGGGAGGGGAGGTTGAGGCTCTTTAGGGGTGCTGTGCTGCAGGGGAGACACATGCAGTTTCACTTGCCTGTGTTTTCTCTCTCCGGCGATGGGGTCACTTTCTCAGTGCGGGAGCAACCCCCTGCCAGGGCTGACCAAGCAGGAGGATTGCTGTGGAAGCATCGGCACCTCTTGGGGGCAGAACAAGTGCCACAAATGCCCCCACTTGCAGTGTAAGTAAAGTCTGCAGCTGCCTTGCCCATACAGACTCACAGCCCCTCTCCACCAGTACTCCTGCCCCTACCCCAGAGCGCCCTCTGCTGGGATAGGCTGGCCTGGAGTAGCCCAGAGCTCCTGCAGACAGTGACTCTGCAGCCCTTATGGTAGCCAGTAGGCCCTGCCCAGTCGGGGAAGCCAGGACTGACCCACAGAGGGTCTGTAAGGGCTGATGCTTAACTGGTGCTGCCATTTCTCCCCCTGCCCTGGCATCGACCTCTCCCAGCCTGGCACAGGGTTTATGGGAAGTATGAATGGGGCCTTACGTATCCAGGCTGTGGCCAGTTTGGCTGCCAGATTCCAGCCTGTTGCCCTAGGAACTGGCTGGGCAGTGCACACCGATCCCTTCCAGGGCACCACGGTGGGAGATGCGGGGCACAATAACGTGTGTCCAGCCAGGGAGGAGATGGATCAGGTGGCGGGTTCCAGCTCTACATTCTCCCCCGCACCTACCCCCCTTCCTGGCGCTCCCACTCAATGGCTTTTCCAGCTCCCGGGGATCTGTGAGTGAGCCACAGGGTGTTTGTGTTGGAGGCAGCCAAGAAAATGCTTCATGGCCTGGCTCCTTGTTCTCCAGCTGGGCTGGGACACCCCTCCCTCCCCGCTGCCTTTCATCCTGCTCCAGCTCTTCTGGGCAACTGCCCGTCTGCAGTCGCCCCATCCCCACCCCTGCAGAAAGCGCTGGGCTCCCAGCTGGTGAGAGGAAGATGGAGGTTAGGGAGAATCGAACCGCTTGTTACCTCAGGGGCTGCATGGGGGGCTGCCACCCTGACCTCTCCCAGTAGGGGGAAGTGGGGAACTGGGAGGAACAGGGCAGGAGCTGGCTGTGGGAGAGCTCCTGGCTAGTCCAGCCTTGGCTTTTCCCAGCAGGGAGCACTGTAGAGAGCAGAGCAGGAGCACTGGCAGGGGGCGGGGGGCAGCAATTCTGAGCCAACTTGCCTCTGAGAGCAGTTTCTTTTAACCCTGTCAGTCAGAAGGCAGCTGTGACATGGGGTTGTGGGGCTGGCCCTGTTCCTCTGTCTCAGTGCCTCTGCCTTCTGTATGACAGTGTTGTGACAATGCCCCACCTTTTTCCCAGCCCTGCCTCTGCTCAGTCCAGTGGTGGTGAGTCCCTCGGGTAGCAAATTCTCATGGTCCCTTGGAATTCTGTTGCCTTTTGGAGCAGTCTTAACTGGAGCAGTCCCCATACCCCCCCTCCTCCCAGCCTCTCTTTCTCTTTTCTTTCTGTCTTTCACTCCCCTCCCCCCCAGCAGTATTCCCGAGCTTGGATAGATCAGGAGCAGCCTGGCTGCACATGCCTGCTGGAATGAAGATCCCTAGGCCTGCTAGCCTGTGGCAGTGAGTCTGGTGTAGGTGCTGGCTCGCTGATCACTACTCCCCAGCACCACCCGCAGGGCTGTTGCCAGATGCCAGAGTTGGTTGGGAAGGGGGATACCAGAGACCCTGGGCCAAGAGGCAGCTTGTCCAAACTGCTGTCTGTGCAAGCGTCTCACACCCATGCTGGGCAGTGTTTGTGTGTCTGCTATGCAGACCCCCATAGCTCCCCCAGCTGGGAATTGGGACCTTGTCTGGCCAGGTGCCATGCAGACCCCCCTAGCACTCTTCCCTCCCAAATCAGGGCCTTGTCACACCAGGCTTTGCATAGATACAGGAGCCAGCGTTTGCCTGGAAGGGCTCAATGTCTAGACAAATGAACAGAAGGGAAAGGAGAGGCAGCGAGTGGGAGTGGACTTGGCAGAGGTCAGTGGCAGAGCTGGGATAGAACCCAGGAGTCCTGAGTGCCAGTCTCCCCCTGCTCTCAGCCGCTAGGCCCCGTTCCCCTCCAAGAGCCAGGGCTAGGCCCCAGAAGTCCTGCCTCCCAGCAGGCCCCCTGCCCTCCCCTGTGCCACACTGCGTCTGGCTCTCTCTTAATCTCCCTCTGGGGCTTCTTGTGTGTTGCAGACACAGGGGTGCAGAAGACAGGCCCGATCCGAGGGGAACACGGGGGCGATTGCCCGCAGGGATACAAGAGACTGAATAGCACCCACTGCCAGGGTACCCAGTGGGCACTCTCTGAGCAGGGGGGCTGAAGACCTGCTTCTGTGTGTGTGCTGTGTCCATGGGAATGCGTTGTGTGTGAGACTGTGCTGCTGCCCATTTCCCCCCAGACAGACCTTAACCTGTGTGCCATGTGGGGTGTGTGCATTGTGTGTTGCTGACCACTTTTCGCATGCAGATATTAACAAGTCATGTGGGGTGTGTGTGCATGTTGTGTTGTTGTGTCCTTGTGTTACTGATCCCTCTTGTGCCTTGTACAGACAATAATGAGTGTGCCATGGGGCATGTGCATGTTGTGTTGTATTGTATGTATATTGTTGTGTTGTGTTACTGACTCCTCTTCCCATGCAGACATGAACAAGTGCACCAAGCAAGTCATGTGTGTATGCTGTATTGTGTGTTGTTGTATTACTGACCCCTTTCTCTCCCCATGCAGACATTAACATGCGTGCCATGCTCATGTGTGAGTATTGTGTGTGCATTGTATTGTTGTGTTACTGACCTCTCTCTCACCCCATGCAGACATTAACAAGTGTGCCATACAGGGTGTGTGTGGGTGTTGTGTGTTGTTGTGTTACTGACCCATTTCTCTCCTTGTGCAGACATTAACGAATGTACCATGTAGGTTGTGTGTACACTGTGGTACTGTGTAGTGTGTTGTTTTGTTACTGACCTCTCTCTCTCCCCAAGCAGATATTAACGAATGTGCCATGCAGGGTGTGTGCCAGAACGGCGAGTGTCTCAACACCCAGGGCAGCTTTCGCTGTGCTTGCAAACCCGGCCACGTGCTGGGCCCATCCCGTAGCCAGTGTGTCCGTACGTAGGGGGCTGGGGCCAGGGTGGGGGGCTGGGCGGATTGAGCAGAGGGTTGGAGCTCAATGATCCTGTCTCTCCTGGAGGGTATGGGAGGCTCGGTGTGTCTGGGTGCCTAGCTGGGGGCAGCAGGGAGCCAGAGCCAATGTTCCCTCTAATCTTTTCCATCTGTGTGTGGAATAATTATTTTATGTGCACTGAGGTATGTGCAGATGTGCAGCACCCATGGAAACATGCTGCCGGCTGTGGGCGCTCTGCTAATTCGCCGTGCAGCACTGGAATCCATCTTGAGCAGTTGCACAAGTGCTCTGCTTACAGGGAACACTGATTGGAGCGGCATTGACACTGTCTCTCCTGGGGCGGATGGGGGCTCAGTGTCTCTGGGTGCCCAGCTGGAAGCAGTAGGGGGTGGGAGCTTCACTGACCCTGTCTCTCCCGGGCTGCAGCGGAGAAGTCGGAGGAGAAGAGCCTGTGTTTCCGGCTGGTGAGCCCGGAGCTCCAGTGCCAGCACCCACTACCCACAAAGCTGACCCGCCAGATGTGCTGCTGTAGTGTGGGCAAGGCCTGGGGGGCCCGATGCGAGCGCTGCCCAGCTGATGGCACAGGTAAGGAACTGCACACTTGGCAGGGCTGGCATATCGGCCATGGCACTACCGGGGGGAGCTCACAGCACTGGAGTCACTGACTGGGGGACTGCCACAGGGAAGCTCGCAGCATGGGAGTCACTGACGGGGGGCACTGCCACAGGGAAGCTTGCAGTGCTGAGATCATAGTCAGTGGACACTGCCATGGGGAAGCTCGCAGCATCAGCATTAACCTGTCTCCTCTCCAATTTGGCAGCTGCCTTCAAGGAGATTTGCCCAGCAGGGAAGGGCTACCACATCCTGACATCTCACCAGACCCTGACCATCCAGGGAGAGAGTGACTTCACTCTGCACATCCACCCGGACGGCACCACAGATCTCCAGCAGCAGCGTGAGCTGCCCAGCCTGCCACCCCTGGAGGAGGACTCACAGGAGGCTGAAGGTCAGAGACCCTGGGGAGGAGGCTGAACTGCTCTGCTCACCTGGACATGGGGGCCCCTACATTTTTGCCTAGTGAATCCCAGTAATAGTGGGGATTGTATGGTACCCCACATTGCCCCACGGGGAGCCGCAGTATTCTCATGGGCTGTACCCCAAATTCGACCATTGTGAAATGCTGTCTAGGAATGTGGGGTTCACAGAGATGTTATAGAGGTCCCTGCATTCTCTGAGGGATGAGCCCACATTCCACAACAATGAATCCCTGTGCTCACGTATCCTCCACATTCTCCCATGGTGAACCCCCATATTATCAGGAGCACCCCAAATTCACTCAAGGTGAACCCCGCTTTCTCAGAGAGGTTACTGCTGTTTTTGTTAGCAAACCCCAGAACTCAGGGGGGCCAACCCCATGTTGTCAGAGCTGCTACCCAAGTTCTCTAAGGGCAAACCCCATTTTCCCGGGTGCACCCTGTTATCAAAGAGTGAATCACGGTATCCCAGAGCCAGGGGACCCTGCTCTCGGCCTGGCCTGGTGAAGTCTGAGCCTGTGCCCTGTGTTTGTCTCTTGCAGCAGTCACCACAGCCATGGTGAGTAGGGTCTCCGGAGCAGTGGACGAGCAGCGGAGGGGTGAGGTGGGTGTGGGGGGAGGCTGTAGGGAGGGGGGAGAGGGGATGAAGGGTGGTGGGTGAAAGGGAGGGAGGTAAAGGCAAGGAGGAGAGGAATGACTGACAGGATGAGAGGGGGAAGAAGGAAGATGAGAGGAAAGGGCAGAAGCAAAGGGGAGAGAGGGATAGAGCACCTGGAGGGGTAGCAGAGAGGAGCAGGTGCCCCCCCACTGTTTAACCACTGCCCTTCCAGCTGCCAGCCTATCGGACCAACTCAGAGGAGCAGTCAGTGGACCAGTTCTATGCCAGTGCAGCCACCCTGGGTGCCCGCTACCCTGGTGAGTGAAAGCAGAAAGGGCACTGTTGTGGGGAAGCTTGCAGCACCGGACTTCCCATCTGAGGGCACTGCTGCAAGGAAGTTTGCAATGCTGGAGCCCCAACTGGAGGCACTGCTGCGAGGAAGCTTGCAGCAATGGATTTCCCAGCTGGAGGCACTGCTGTGAGGAAGCTTGCAGTGCTAGAACCCCTGGCTGAGCCCTGCTGCAGGGAGGTGCGAAGCACTGAAGCCCTGGCTGGGGGCACTGCTGCAGGAAAGCACGCAGCGCTACTAACCTTGTGCTTTCTCTGTTGGATCTCAGAGGTGGTGGCCCGTCCCACAACTGCCATGGTGCGGAAGGTGCCGCCAGACCAATACACACGCAGTGCCGTGGAGATGGCCCCCACGCAGGTGACAGGTGAGAGCCCTCAGCGGGGGGTGGGGTGGGGGGGATGTGTGTGCTGCCAAACTCCTCCTTCCCCTTTGGAAGAAATTTCACAATCATGCACCAAACTTCCCTGCTCAGGCACCCAGTAATTATTGGGGTGAATCCCAAACATTCCTCAGTGATGCGCATGATCTCAGGGAGTCCCCTCTGTTCTCTCTGGCTTGGAGATCTCTCCTGAGTGCTCCTGGCCCTGTGCTGGGCTGCAGCATCCCTAGGGGTGGGGGAGCTCCTCGCTCTTGGCTGGTTGGTGGAAGCTGCGGGTATGAGAAAATCTCCTGGTGTCTGATCTGCTCGTCCTGATGCTCCCGCCCGGGCTGTGTCTGCCTGTCCCTGCAGAGATGGAGGAGGGC